CCCCAAAACCCCAAAACCCCAAAACCCCAAAACCCCACTGTAGAAAATATTTATTGAAGTCTAGGAACCCTAATTACGCCTTGATTGTACTGCCATTCTCAGTTAGTTTGATCGTATGAGGGCCTCCTCCACTAAGTGTGCCTACTTCTTGGAGGGATTTTATTCCATAACTTCTTGTCTGTTCTTGCTTATCAGCTTTAATGAACCCTTCTGTGGATAATGGCCTAAATTTCATAAATTATTAGCCAAACTCTTGGACTGGGGAAATCTCGGGAAGTGCAGCTTCAAGGTCGTAATCAACATAAGACCAGATATCTCTCTGCTTCAGGATTGGTCTTTTGTGGTAGTTATTAAGGTTTCTATAAAGTCAAGCAGTAACCATACAATTTTAGCATTTCCTCAGTTTCGTTATTATGATCCATCATCCATTCGTTAGGGATGTAGCAATTTCTTCTAGAGTAATACACCTTATCCGAGTTATGGACTAAACCAACTTCTCGTTCAAGCCAGTGGTTGTTATGGTCACTAAGCGGCTGCATTGGGTGCTCTCTTATAGTCTTTAAGTTATACTGAAGAGGTAAACAAGTCAGATGCATCAACCTTGGCTGCGGGGAAAATGCCCTACTTTCTTCCTTGGGCTCATATATCCCGTATTTTGAAAGGACGACTATAGATTAAGTTATTGAAGACATCTTCTGGGGATATAAAGGAAAATTGGCTCTAAAGTAAATATCCTTACTTTTCTGACCTGTCTTATGCTGTCTTTGTGTAAAAATAAAATCAGTAGCTGCCTTAGTCTCTTCTAAATTTTGTTGTGTGGAGATGAACTTTCTTTCAGAGTTTTGTCTTCTTATCTTCTTGATTGTCTTCTTCCTTCCAATTAAAACTCTCTATTTAGATATTAATCATCAAGGCTTACTCTAGTCTTCTTCTTTCTTTTATCCATTCCTAATTGTGCAGTTATCTCAATATTTTATTTCTAAAAAGGGGTTTTGGGGTTTTGGGGTTTTGGGGTTTTGGGGTTTTGGGG